CAGGTGCTAACTTAATTTATTCTGTCGCGTGCCCTCTAGCTAAGTTCCTTAAATCCCGACAAAGAAATCTATTTGGTAAGAATAGATGGCCAATATCAGGTAAGGAGAACGAGTCAGAGACGAGTCAAAGAATATCGTGCAAGAAGAATGAGTCGGAGAATATGAGGTATCTGGCCAACACCCACATAGCTCATGTTGTCTCTTAGGCCTCATTTGGAAACAGACTATTTTAATAATTTTTTGACTTTTTACGAAAAGATGTGCAGAAAAATAGAGAAAATTATGTGATAATTTACAGTGACTTTTTGACTAAAATGGTTATTCCCTAAACGAGGCCTTAATGCCAATATAAAATGATGGACTCACTGTCTAAACCAATCATGATAGAAAATGGCATCAGATGCAATTCTCTCAAAGGTATGCAATAATTGCTCCCATATCAAAGGTATGCAATAATTGCTCCCATATAGTGATTATTTATTTTGGCTATGTTTGACACGTTGTTTTGGGATTATTTTATCCATAAAAAGAAAAAAAAAAGATTAAAATGTTAATAAGATAAAATATTATATCTAAATCATAATTATTTTATTTTTTTTCTCATAAAAATTAAAAAAATAAAAAACTCATCCCAAATTAAATTTTTTAACTCTAAATTAAAATAACCAAAAAAACAATCCACGTTCCAAACGAAAACTTTGTTTTATAATACATGTCATATTATTTACGTATACTCTCAATTAAAAATATAATAATAAAAAATATTAATACACTTTTAAAGATAATTTAACTGACTTATCAATTGTGTTTTGTGGTTCCCCATTTATTTAGACAATACTAAAAAATAAACTAGTAAATTAGTAATTATTCAATTGTTACGAGATACCATGTATTAAGAGTAATCCTGAAAATTTTAAAAATTCTATCAAAATTTTTACTAAATATCTCATATGGATGTGAGATTTACACAATGTATGTCTTACATTCATGTAAGACATTTGGTAGAATTTTTAGGATTTCTAACATTTTTGATGTATTAATGTCTATGCGATGCTCCAACTAAGGCCTCGTATGACAATTATATGTTTTAGTCAATAAATTAAAAAGTCACTATAAGTTGTCATATCATTCTCTCTATTTTTTTATATAATTTTTTTATAAAAAATTAAGAAATTATTAAAATAATTTATTTCCAAACGAGACCTAAACCCACTTAAAAAAATTTAAAAAAATTCTGAAAAGGAGATGGTGAGTGACAAAGGAGGAAAACAACCGTTTATGATTACGCTGTGTATATGTCATATTTTTGTATGGGAAAAAAGAAAAAAAAGTATAAAGATAAAAATGAAAAAGGAGAAAAAAAAAAAAAAAACTAAATTTATTTATTTTTAGCTGGGTGAGGAAAATAAGAAGAAATTAAGAACAAAATATACTGTGTTTGGCTTTAATTTTCTGAATTTATTTTTCTAAAAATTAAGTTTTTTGTTTTTTTGTTTTTAGTGAATATTTTAAAATTTTAAGTAGTTTTTTTTTAAAAAAAAAATAGATGTACCTTACTTAAATGTATTTAAAAAGTAAAATATTTGTACAAAAATATTTTTAAAAATTAATAAATACAGAAAAAAATATGAAAAATATATTGAATTTTTATTTTTTTTTTGTATTTTTGGTATTTAGTGAATGTTTTAAAGATTTTTTTCACAAATATTACACTTTTTAAGTATATTTATGTTAAGTGTATCTAAAAATTTTAAAAATTGTTTAAAATATCAAAAAAATAGTAAAAATAAAAAAATTATAAAAAAAATTGTAAAAAGTGAATCGTGAGTTATGAAACAAACAATTTCATAGCTATTTATTAAAGAAAACTATTTTTTGGGCTGTGACCCAGTCGGGAACCAAGAAACAAATGGCTAGAAAAAAATGGGGAAAGCCCAACAGGAAATTGGGAGTTTCAACAATCAAATGGTTCATTATGAATTAGGCAAAGCCCAAAAGAAGAAAAACACGAAAAGAGGTTCATATGAGTGAGATCCAAGAATTTCCAATCTAAAGTAGAGTCTGTCTTTAAATTATGAATTTAAATAATAATAAAAAAAATTAATTTACATTTGATTCATATTTGTCTTATATTTTCATTTTATGTTTCCATTTAAATTATTATACAAATTTATGATTTAAACCCAATTTTAATACATAAAAAAAATTTTGAAAAAAATTCTCTACAAACAAATTTTCAAAAGTAATTAAACCAAATAAATTTTTTTTAAAACAATATCAAAATTTTGTTTAGTTACTTACTTCCCAAAATCACACTCTCTTTCTCATACACATCAAATCAATCACTTTTTTTAAAATTCTCTCTCCAAAATAATTTTTCAAAACCATTTCTGAAAAAAGGCAAACCAAACAAGTTTTCGTACTTTTTATCTCAAAAAATACTCTATAAACACAAACCAAACATATGAGATGTAAAATTTAAAGTTGAATCTTAACTATTGCGTGATATAACTACTTTTCCTTTTCTTTGGTAAGTGAATCGTTGACTTTTTTTAGATTCAATTGATAATAAATGAATATAACTTCGCCAGATCTACTAAAAAATAGGATATTTGAGTCATAAGTTAAATTTCAAAACTTTCGAGACAACAGTCCTAAGGCCTACTCTCTTAGGACTAAGAGGACAAAATAATTTGAAAGAACGGTATTATTCCTACTTATCTGTCAACTATCTATTGCCTGCCGATCCATATTTTTTTTAAAAATACCATCCATTATTTATCAATATATTATCTATATCTACCAACCTATTTTACTTATATGTCATATTGCCAATATCATCCGTTGCTGTGGCCAACAACTTCCTAGCCATTTTCCGGTGCAAGTGGTTGGTTGACAGTGGTCCAATAGTGATATAAGAATAATAAGGTAAAAATAAAAAATTCATTTAAAATAATAATTTATTCTTTCAACTAAACAATTTCATTAATAATGTTCTTATTTTTATAACAAAAAAAAAAAAAAGATAAAGGAAGGGTATGAGACTCGAATCTTGAACCTACTTTAAAAAAAAAACTATTATCCCTTAAACAACACATAGGCCTCGTTTGAAAAGTTTGCTATTTTAGTAAATTATTTTAATTTTTGACTATTCTAGTAGGTTAAAATATTTGTGTTTGGGAAGAGAGCTAGATTTTTTTATTAGATGTGATGTTTGTGTGAGAAAAAGTAAAATGATTATGGGTTTGATGTGACATTTTGTCTTATTAATTATTTTAACCTATTTTATCCTTTTGTAAATTTTAGTCCAAAAAAAGCCAAACCTTGGCTTCCCAAACACCCCCATAATATTAAATATAATATTTTATTTTTATTTTTATTTATTTATTTAAATTACAAAACATTGCATGCGCCAACTGCTCTATTTTTATAAAATAAACCTGCTACGTAGCTTGAAATCCACGTGGCTCAATTGGCCCGAAGATCAAAACGACGTCGTTTTGATTTTTTTTTTTTCCTCTTCCCGTTTTTTGAAGATCTGTAGAAGAAAAAGAAGAAGAAGAGAGAAGAATGGAGAAGAAAAAGCTGGTGAACAAAGCATCATCATCAACAACAACCTCTTTATCAACACAGCATCTCATCAACAACAACATCCATCATTAGCAACAGAACATCATCATCAACAACAACCTATTCATCAACACAACATCTCATCAACAACAACAACATCCATTATCAACAACAACCTCTTCGTTAATACAGCATCTCATCAACAACATCTTCATCAACACATCATCATCAGCTAACAAAATTTTTTTCTTTCCCCTCTTCATCTTCAGATCTAGATCTACTAGAGGAAAAAAAAAAATATATAGTAGAGAAAATAGAGTCTGAAAGTGGCGCCATTACCGTTGCTCACCGTCGCCGTCTCTCTTCTCTCTCTTTCTCCCTCTCTCTCTCTTACCCTCCCTTTGTTTTAGATATAAACAGAGGCTGCTCTCTCTCTTTACTCTGTTTATCTTTTTTTTTTTTATATATTTGAAATGAAATGTAATTAAAAGAGAGATGAACAAAGGTGTACAAAGATATGTGGGTGTATGTAGAAGTTCGGGCCATTTTCGAGCCACGGTATTCGAGCTACCAATCTTTTCTCTTTATAAAAATCAATCCTTCAATGTTAGAATCAAATGACATATTCCCATCTCGTTTGAGGTAATTTAAATCCAAATCCAAACCCAAATTCAAATCTAAATCCTATAAGGAGAAAAAAGAAAGAAAAGAAAGAAAAGTATATAAAATTAGATAAAATTTAAATATATTTTATTTATATTTCACTTATATATATTTTTTTATTTTTTAAATTCATTCTCAAATTTCCCAATCCAACCTAATCAAATTTCTCAATCAAACCTAACGTAAAAAACCACCAAGGGTGGTGGCCCAGTGGTGAAGGCATTGCCTTCCCACAGCCATGAGTCAAGTTCGACTCCTGGGGGGCGCGAAAATCTTGGATTTTCCAGGGGCTTTCTACGAAGACCTCGCGCTGTACTCCGATCGAAACTTGTCCATGACTGGGGTGGTTGATGAGCTCCACTAGTGCCTTGATGGTAGGTCCCTTCCTATGGGTTGAGTTAAATCAGGCCGGCAACCGGCTATCCCGGGGCCTGGGCCTACGGAGGCGGTTGATGAACTCCACTGGTGCCTTGATGGTAGGTCCCTTCCTATGAGTTAAGTTAAATCAGGGGCCTATGGAGGCGGTTGATGAGCTCCACTGGTGCCTTGATGGTAGGTCTCTTCTTATGAGTTGAGTTAAATCAGGCTGACAACCGACTGCCCCGGAGCCTGAGCCTACAGAGATCGTGATGCCCCCATAGAACCTCCTTTTTCTCTATAAAAAAAAAAAAAAAAAACCTCAAATAAAAAAAAAAAAAAAAACCTCACGTAAAAAGAAGAATGAAAATAAAAAGGATAACGTTGACATTGGTGTCAATAAAAGAACAAGGCTCTATATTAGACCTATTATGCACCAGGGGGTCACCGTAGGACCATACTAGTAACGGAACAAACAGTACCAATTTTGTTTCTCTCTCTCTCTCTCTCTCACGCACAACGAGCGAGCAGAGAAGAATAGTCGCACTGCATTCAGATTCGGAGAACTATCGGGAGATTCAAATGCTTCGATCTATTGGTACTCACTACTTTTCTCTTTTCCATATTAGATCTTTTTCTCAATACTATTCAATATGTGTGATTGCTTCTTCGTATTGATACCGGTGAGATTTCAAATTTCAGATTCCTTTTTGTTTTCATTTTGATATACAAATCTTTGAAATTGATGTTTTATTATTATTTTTTGTTTGTTTCGGCATGACATTGATTCGAGAGATTGTGTTTCTTCAGTTTCTTTGGTGTATACTGATCTTTATTTGATGTTTGCTAGGAACTCGTTTTGTTTGGTTTCAATTTATACTTGAATTTGGTTTTCCCAACATTAGGATCTATTACACTCCCTTTGGATCGTGAGTTGAGATGAGAAAGGAAATGATTGTGGGTTTTCACTTAGGTGAGAAAAGTAAAGAAATGATGATGGTTTCTTACCATTATGTTTGGATTGGATGAATAAAAGAGAAAAGAATGTGTTTGGATAGAGGAAATGAGGGAAAATAAAGGAAGGTGTTATATTTTATTTTACCAAAATAACTTTTCATATTAATAAGTTATTTTTTTTTATAGCACTACCTAAGAGTGAATATTTTTATTATTTAGGATCGATTATCACAACGACTGAAGAGATTGGAGCGGATATAGTCCATAGAATTAAGGTGGGGTGACTTAAGTGGAGTAGTGTATCTGGGATACTTCGCGATAAACGAGTGCCTACTAGACTAGAAGGGAAGTTCTATAGAATGACTATTAGACCAACGATGTTGTATGATATGGCATGTTGAGTAACTAAAAAACAACATGTTAATAAGATAAGTGTTGCTGAGATTAGGATGCTAAGGTGGATGTCTGGCAAGAGATAGAGTTATGAATGAGTATATTCGAGAATGGGTAGGAGTAGTACCGATAGAAGATAAGTTTAGGAAATATAGATTGAGATGATTTGGTCATATACAACAGAGACCAACAAAGGTAGTAGTGAAGAAATACAATATAATGACAGTAGATGGAAGTGTTAGGAGAAGGGGCAGATATAGATTGACGTGAGCTAGTGTAATAACTATGAAGCATGAATATTCCAAAAATGGTGCCGTACGAGTATCGAGTACTTACCGGGATATGCGTACTAGTACGGCGGTACGCGTACTGGTAAGGCAAACACGTTTCAGTACGTCATAGGTATGGCGATGTGTTTTTTTTTTTTGGTTGCAGCTGCTTGAATTTGTTGCAGCCTTTATTATTCTTCTTTCAACTTCAAAAATCATCAAGCAATTTATTTCCAACACTCTTTACCCATGAGTTATGATTTTACTCTCTTTTACATCATGTTTTAGACAATCAAAAAAGAAAAGAAAAAAAAAATTATATAACTTTTTAGACAAGTTGTTCTCTTTTTAGTTTTGATATTGAAACTTTGATATTTATGTTGAATGTTTAGTTGTAAATTTAAAAAAAAAAATTGACGTACCCTCGCTGTACCTGTACCTTACTTTTTAAAGAATTTGCCGTATCAGCATATCCTTATCTGTACCCGCACCCGTGCTTCATAGTGTAGTAAATAGAGATATGAATATTCTTAATTTAACTAACGATATGGCCTTGGATAGATTCGAATGGAGAAGAAGGATTCATATAGCCGACCCTATTTGATGAGACTTAAGACTTGGTTTGGTTTGGTTTCTTTATAAGGGTGATTCTGGTACTTTACAAAACTTTCATTAAACCCAATTCCTTTATCACCAAATCTCACCATTTTTGGTGAGAAACAAAACATAGGTTTGGTGAGAATCATATTCTCACCATCTCTCATCATTTCTCACCTGCTTAACCATCCAAACAAGTGAAGGGGTTTTCTATTCTCACAATTTATTTTATTTTTCACCAAATTTCTCTATCCAAACAGAGTGTTATTGTAATATTGAAAGAAAATGAAGGCGAATTTGACATGGTTCTATGGATTTTTTTTAAAATTATTTTTGGACGTATTTGAGCAACATGGTTTCTTTTTGAATGCTTTCAATTGAAATTCTGAGTTTTCAAGCATTTTAAATCTGTGAATGTATTGATAGAGTGTGTGAGGGTGTCATGGGATCGTCTGCAGAATCTGATTTGACACGTTTTGAATTTGACTGGCTTATAATGTATCTGTGCATAGTTGACAGAAGGAAAAAAATGGAGAAGGGGACTTGCCTGTATACACAAGTTTCGGATGCCACAATAAAGAACATGAAAATGATGCAAATAATTCAACTTTATTAATTTTAAGAAAAGGGTACAATACTCTTGGTTTTATGCTGACTACAATGGTACACCTCTCTGATTCAATATCCTTTTTGATTCTGGATACAAAGGGCTTCACGAGTGTGATCTATCAAACAGTTGTGCTTCTTCAAGTTTTTAAATGCAAGAAGGTTGAAAAAACCCAATCCAGAGATGAAGTTTGATCTTGAACGGACTTGAGGTTGTTACTCCTAGAAGACTTCCATCAATTTTTTGGTTGTGAAAAGTGTCTTCGATTTGGAGTAAAAACTTGGCTCCTTGTTGTCATGCTTGTTGATTTTCCATGTATCTTGTCATATGAAGTAGAAGAGTCGACACTTACTGTTATGCTTGTGTTGATCTTCTACATGAGAAAGAAGAATGCTTTTAAGCAAGTAATTCGATATAGTTCTGGATTTGGCTTTAAGCAAGTATTTTCCATGTATCTTTTGTGTCTTTTTTCCCTTAACAAGTGAGCCGGTATTTGTAGGCTTGCTGAGGATGCATATTTTTGGATGCCCTGAACATGGTGTGGATTGAGGTGGCTGTGTTGACTTTCTTAATTCCCTTCTTTTCGAACGTATGTCCTTTTTATTGCTATCCTCAAAAAGTTTCTCCCCCTTTTCCTTCCCAACGTCTTACTTTTTGGAGCAGAACAATTTCCTGCTATCCTATCAATCGGTAACTCAGTAATAGTAGGAGCGTTGGGCACTGGGGTACACATGAAGAAGTAGATCCGTCAACATATCTATTAAATCCTTGATTGTATCCACACGATATGCTAGTAATCAAATAAAGTAGAATCTGAAACAAAACTGTATACATGGAAGACCCTTGGAAACAATAATCGCCATGGATAAAAAACTACAGGCCATATTGCCTAGTAAAACAATCCACTAGATTATGAGTTTAATTCAAACCTTCAAGTAAACAACTTACAACCCAACCTTTGTTGCATTAGCCTCGACATCTTCCCTTCAAGTAATTATTATATAAAACCGTAATGCAAGTAGTTATAGGATTTTTAGAATCAAAGACCATTTTACACTAAAATTTGTATGCTTGCTTGTGCAATCTTCAAGCATGCTTCGGGCAGAGTTTGCTAGAATTTTGCGGGAGGCCTCTAGAGGACATTTCTCAGGACTTACATTCTGTACTTACCCTCTATTTGATTTCAATGGAAATATCAAAATAATGAAATTTCATATAAATAAAAATTCAACTCTCCCTATCAAACACAAAATTTGAAAATTGACTAAAAAAGTGCGTTCTTCAAAATAAGGCATTTGTCCTACCCTAAGATATTTAGCTCCAAATTGCAAACATGCAAAAGGATTGGTCATGAAATATTCAAACTTAGGTGTTTTGATGTGTTGTCGTTCATTGCTCCTTTAAAAACTGCCAAACCTTGACTTTAGTCTATCATTTGACTCACAAAAGATGTTTCCTAAGCTAATGCAATATGCTCATGCAATTATATATGGGATTGGGGAGGTTGCATTGAATTGTTTACGAAACTTTTCAGTGAACAAGGATTCAATGGAACAACCCAAAAGGCCCTCCAACCCTAACAACCAATCCAACAAAATATTAATCTCCACTATAGCACTTTTACCCAAATGAACCTTTAGCTCATAAATCATCTTAAAAATCCTCAAAACAAAAAGCAATATAACCATCTTAGATTAAACCCACCTTTTTTGACTTGCCAACCTTCTTACCCAATAATCAACCACAAGGGTAAATAGAAATGGGTGCAAAGGGTCACCCTGTCTATGACTCCTAGTAGCTTTAATGCTACTTCCTTCCTTGCCATTAACTATAACCAAAAAATTACAAGACAACAAAAATCCCTTAACCCACTGTTCCCATTCAAGACCAAACCCTTTGCATAACAAAGTTCAAATAGTCCCAATCATGATCATAACTTCTTCTTCTTCTTTTTTTTTTTTTTTTTAATTTTTTAATTTTTAAAATCAACTGGAGAAGTTCTACACTCCACCGCCTCATTAGCTATCAAAATTGCATCCAAATTTGTCGATCCTTAACAAAGCTCCCTGTGAAATAGAGATATATCCTTCAAAACCATTCTCAATCTTCTTGATAAAAGTTTTGCTAAAATTTTGTATAAACAAGCGACTACACTAATTGGTTTAAAATCCCTAATTTTCAAAGAATTTTCCTTTTTAGGAATCAAGCAAATAAAATTAGCATTTGATAAGCTTTCACAACTCCATTTTCAAAAAAATCATGCTTGAATACATCCTAACAATCTTGAAATTTAGCCATTGAAAAACCCGAAGAAGCACGAACACGTGACACGGATATGCCGAGATGGCAATTTTAAAAAAAATGCAGGACACGACACGTAAGGGGCAAGCGTAGAATATATAATTTTATATATTTATGATTTGTTGTATATACGAATATATCATTCTAAGACAATAAATAAATGCAATATAACACTAACCTTTATAAATTAACATTATTTTTCTTTTATCTTTGTGTTTTAAGTTATTTTGTTAAAATTTATAATTAATTTCGTGTGTGTCTAATCAATGGGCATGTGTGTTCTTCTAGTGTCCGAAGAGTGTCTAAGTTTTTTTTTTTTTCTTAATAAAAAAAATAAGAGACGTTTGGAAGAGAGTCAGACATGTGTTGGGAAGTGTCCGTGCTTCTTAGGAAAAACCATTTGGCCCAAGTGATTTGTCCCTTTTGCAATCGAGGACTACACTTCTAATTTCCTCTAGTTAAAAAGACCTTTCCAATTGAAAGGCTGTACCCTCATCAATTTGGACTTTCGAAACAAATCCAAACCTTCCATCCCTAGCCTAATGAGCCCTCTTGAAGAAAATGCCTTAGAATAAAAGGAAAAAGTCTCATGAAAATTTTGACCTTCTTTATCCACCACCAAACCAAAACCAATCTCAAGTCTCATAATAAACTTCTCTTTCCTTTTACCTGTCATTACCCGATGAAATAACTTATAATTATTGTCTCCTTCTTTTAGGCATTTCATTTTGGCCTATTGCCCCCAAGAAATTTGCTTTCCCTGACCTAAGGGGGTGTAGCAACTTGGCAAGACCTTGAGGTATAAACCTTGAGGTCCTAGGTTTCACTCTTCTTGGGGCCAGCCATCTGGGCAACAACACATATGCTTGGTAGGACGAACCTCCAGGCCTAGGCGAACCGTACATGTCAAGAGTGTGGGTTTGAATCCCTGTTTGCGTGTGAGTTCGCAACGTACCGCTACATGGTTAAGTAGCTTTTGTAGTTTTAGAGAAAAGAAAGTGTTAGAGAATGAGTGAAACCTCATCCCCTTTTGTATTAAGAATAAAGCATAATTACAGTAGTGCCATAAGGTATGAATTATGGGCTAGCTCATTACAACCCATTACATTAAATCAGAATAAAATATGTGAATATAATTTCCTATTCTAACACTCCCCTTCAAGCTGGAGCGAAAATATTTCTCATGCCCAGCTTGTTGAGAATGTAATGAAGTGGTTTGCTCCCTATTTATTTGGTGAAAACATCTCCTAGTTGGTCCCAAGTCTTCACAAATGGAGTACATATGGTGCCACTAGTGAGTTTTTCCTTGATGAAGTGCCTATCAATCTCCACATGCTTGGTTCTATCATGTTGAACTGGATTATGAGCTATGCTGATTGCTGCCTTGTTGTCATAGCACAACCTCATGGAATCGGTCTGATGGATCCCCAAGTCTCCCAACAATAGTCTAATCCATAGCAACTCACATACACCCTGAGCTATAGCCCTGAATTTTGCCTCAGCATTAGATCTAGCAACCACATTCTGTTTCTTATTTCGCCATGTGACTATGTTGCCTCCAACAAATGTGCAATATCCGGAAGTTGATCGTCTGACAGTGACTGATCCAGCCCAATCCGCATTAGTAAATGCCTCCACGCCGATATGTCCATGTTTTGAGAAATAGAAACCCTTTTCAGGAGAAGATTTCAGGTACCTCAGGATTCTCATAACTGCCTTTAAGTGGGAAGTTTTAGGAGTATGCATAAACTGGCTAACTATGCTTACTGCAATGGCAATGTCTGGACGTGAGTGTGATAAGTATATGAGCTTACCCACTAGTCTCTGGTACCTCTCCCTGTCCACTAGCTCTCTCTCTTGATCCTCACTTAGTTTCTGGCCCGGCTCTAAAGGTGTATCACATGGTCTACCTCTAAGCATTCTAATTTCCTTTAGCAAGTCAAGTACATACTTTCTTTGACATATGAAGATACCATCCTTGGACCTAGCTACTTCAATGCCCAAGAAATACTTCAAATTACCTAAGTCTTTGATTTCAAACTCTTTGACTAAGTATTCCTTCAATCGAGGGATCTCCTCAACTTCATCCCTTGGTCAGAACAATATCATCAACATAAACGATAAGAGCTGTGGTCTTACCATGTAAGGAGTGTTTCACAAATAAGGTGTGATCAGCTTGACTTTGTTTGAACTCATATCTCTGCATAGCTTGAGCAAACCTTTCAAACCAAGTCTTAGGAGATTACTTTAGCCTATAAAGTGACTTCTGAAGCCTGTATACTTTACCTTTGGGCTTAACATCCGTAAAACTAGGAGGAATATCCATATAGACCTCTTCTGCGAGGTCTCCATGAAGGAAGGCATTTTTCACATCAAACTGATGAAGTAGCCAAACCAAATTTGCTGCAAGAGAAGCAACCGGTGCAAATGTTTCCTGGTAATCTACCCCATAAGTCTGAGTGAAGCCCTTAGCAACCAAACTTGCTTTGTACCGTTCTATGGAACCATCTTCTTTGTATTTTACAGTGTACACCCACTTACACCTAACTAGATTTTTGCCTCTAGGTAACTCTACTAACTCCCAAGTGCCATTCTTGCTGAAAGCTCTCATCTCCTCTATCATGGCATGTTTCCATTCAGGAATAGAGAGAGCATCCTGAAAATGAAAATTGGTAGGTAGACTCATGGAAGAAATCATAGATAGAAAAGCTTCATATGAGAAAGACAGATTAGAATAAGAGACATGATTAGTAATAGAATGCTGAGTACATGACCTAACCCCCTTCCTATTAGCAATGGGAACATCAAGATCTGAAAACTCAGGAACAGGAGCATTATGATTAGAATTACCTGGGTTTTCAAGAGAGGAGGATGACTCTGGACACTCATCCGAAGAAAAAATTAGCAGTAGAGGAAGAAAAGTAGTCTCTTGCATCCAGGTGACTTTCTTTCTATCCTTGTTTTTGACATAAACCTTGTCCGCTTCCTTTTCCACAACAATTACTGGTTCATCATCCTCAATCTATTCAACCACGGGTGGTAGTGGAACAATCTCTTCACACCAAGGCTCCTCCTGAAAGGATGACTGTGGCACTAGGGAGGTGAGAAAGTAAGACTGAGACTCAAAGAAGGTGACATTCATGGAGACAAACCATTTGCGAATGGGAGGATGATAACACTTAAGAGACCTAGGATCCAATTTACCACGTGTGGATGAACGATTATGGACAAAGCAAACCCAGTCAAAGGTCTTAGGAGAAATGGAGAACCCAGATGAGGTAGATCCGA